CCCCAAAACCCCAAAACCCCAAAACCCCGTAAGATTAAATACAAGTTATATGGGAAAGAGTAATTTGTTTATTCCTGGAAAATATTAATAGCTATCTCAAAACTTGAATTCTTAGTATTACTTATTATCTATGATATTGCTATAACTTGGGCTTGATTGATTAGGTGGGGATTTCTTGTTATGCAGTTAGAATTGTTTGTGTACATGTTTAGATGAAATTATGCTTAGCTGAGAATTTTCACCTTTCACAGCTTTAGTATAAGTGCTTGATTTTGGAATACTCTTCTACCTTGTGAGATTTTCCTTCGATTTATTGGAGTAAAAAGATGGAGAAACTGGCATTGAAAATAATTGCCCTTTTACGGGAACAGGTTTAACAAAATCCAATTCATAAATAGCTTGGTCCTTTAATTTATCTACTTATCTTTTCTTGAAACTTTAAAGACTTTTATTGAGAATACTGTCTTTCTAGGTCATGTCTTGCGAACTTAAAATATTCTGGGCATTATTGTATCGATTGTCCAACTGCTTTAAGAAAGTAGAGGTGTTCAAAGCCTTGCTTGAAGTGTCATCATCAATTAAGATCATGTCTTCAAAGTTAGAGTTGTTATAATTGTTGCCGATCCCAGCGCCACTGATGTTTTGATTTGGAGTATTGTTGGTAGTTGAGCCTATAATATGATTTAATACTTTATTCAAACTTATTTTCTGCTTTGTTACTTTAGGTCTTGAACTAGATTCATCTGAATTATTATTGTTTATCTATTGCTTAGCATTAGATGCAACTTTATTATTTGATTTATTATTTGGATTTCTTTAATCATACGATTCAATTGTATCATCTCTTAGAGTAAAATCGTTAAGAGTTACTGTATGAGCATTTATCCTGAGTGATAAAAGCTTTTTATCTTTAATTTATTTCTTAGGAGACATTGATTAATGAGGTCTATGGCTATGATCTTTTGGTAAGTAGTTTTAACTCAGCTACACTCTATAACTTTCAATTGAATTAGGATTGGATCTATACGGGGATAGTGATTGCTGCTGATACGCTCTTTCTGCATTATAATCGGTTGACCTGAGGAGATTCAAGTTTGAGATCTATACACCACTCACATAACTACCTTCATTATTAGTCTATTGAAATCCTTTTCTTCCCTTAAAAAATTGAAATTTTCTCACATTTCCTGAGGTCTGCAAAGACCTTTTTGGTAGGCTCCCTCTTATGTAAGGTTTTAAAGGTATCTCATAATTAGTAAGAGGCATTTGTTTATATTCCACGTTAAGATGCTCTAGATTAACCACTACTGGTGTGTACTCCTAAGAAATAATTGGATTCATATTTTCGATAGTCTCCTTCAGCGTTTCATTATGATAGCTTTCGAAATCATTGAATTAGTTGTTAATTTCATCTTGAATCTGCTATGAATCATTTTTGGCATCAGATTTATTAATAGACAGTTCGATTACTTCTTTCTCAACACTTGGCTTTTCAACAATTTATTAAGGAGGCTCGTGATTCGCTTTAACGAGGATCAAGCTTCTTTTGCTCACCACATTTTGTTCATTGTTATTACTGTTACTATTAATTTTACTCACTGAGTTATTAGTACTAAAGGCACCACTCATGTTAACATCGAACATATTATTTGGTCTTTGAGAAATAGTTGAGTTAGAGGATGTAAGTTAGCTGTGCATTAAAACTTGGTGATTGTTCTGTTGATTCTGGTGATACTTACTATCAAAGTTACTCTTCTTATCTACTACCTCTTGCATATTTTAGCGTTCCCTTTGGAATTATTGCAAAAGAGTATTTCTCAGTGGTTTATATTTCAGGCCATTATTGTAAAGAGTAGTGTTTAGAGTATTTCCATAATTGACATCAGAATTATCGAATCTAGCTAAATAAAATCATTAATAGAGATGGTTTAAATACATGAGAGCTGCTGCTAATTTTAAGGAGAGGATTCAAATCTGATTAAAGTTTAAGGGATCATTATTTTTGGCTCAGGCCTTCCATATCCTGTCTCTCTATTAACTTTTTCTGAAATGGTTCTATTTTTAGGCAGATCCTCATCTAGATGAAGAAGAGGCATGTGTCTATGCTTTTGTTACTCTTTTTTTATCTCATACGCCAGACTTTTTGCTACTTCATGCTGTTCAGTTTTTGCTAATTAACTTGCAAGTTTAGTATTGCCATCCCCAATGATACTCATAAGATTCTGATACCTTTGTAACTCTAAATAATCATTAAGCTTTTTTTATTTTAGTATTACTTCTATAGTATATTTCATTAATGAGGTTTTATTTCTTTGGAAGGATCGACTTTTATATAAATTAAGCCATTGAAGGTAACTTATAATGCTCCACTTGAGTTTATTGAATCCTTGCAAGTTGGCCTCTCTTAGCTCTTTTCTATAATTTTATCAATCTTAACATATATTATACCTATATTCTGGGAGAGCTTTAAGCACTTTTGGGAATAATTTTTTGGTAAATAAATTTAGTTCTGATTGGGATGCTTTGGCTTTCAAGTTGTCTTCCTTGCTGATTTAACTCTAACTTATAGGGAGTTATAGGCACAGAAGTTGGCATTTAAATACTTCGTTGCTGATTCATATACACTGACTTTTGAGATTGCTATGAGAAGTCAGATAATTATAGGCACCTAAATCCTTGGGCTGTAGCAGTGTCTACTTTAGGTTGATTACAATCAAAAAGGCTTTCACGATTTTAAAGTATTTCAGTTTAATTGGCTATGCCTCATTTTTTTCGGACCATAGAAGTGCTATTATACTCCAAACTCTTGTTGAGGTAGCTCTGATCATCCTTGGAAAGTACTATTGGCGAATCAGGCTTATTTTCCCTGGTACTGATCTCTATGGACTATAGATTAGGCTGCATAGGATCATCATCCATAATCAGACTGTGTGAGGGGTTGATTTAAGAGCATTAAGAATTCATATTAAATTAATATTTATTTCAGATAACTTTTTTAGAAAATTAATTAACTAATTCAATCATCCTTTTTAAAAAGTAATACCAAATATCCTATTCTTACTTTTGATTCTTTAATTCCTAGTCTGTATATAAAATATTCCACAGATCAATAAAATTATACACTTCTTGTCTAGGAAACTTAGAACTTCAAATTGAATAGATTTATTGGTACAAAGGTTGATTAGCCACCTCATTTAAGTTATAGATGGATTTAAGTATTATAGTTACATCAGAAATCACTGAGTTAATTATCAATCGATGTTAAGCTACCATATCTAACTTCCATGATTTTGCTTGTGGTGATCGAACCGTCCAAACTCTTGTTAATGACGCAAATGTCTTAAGTAAATGATCCACCAACTGGTGCCCAAATCACACCACCTGGCTTCAACTAATCCAAAAGAATCTAGCTCACTTCCTCAATGGCTCCTCCAACATGAATGATATCATATGGACCTTCTTCAGGATAACCCTTTCTACCATCTTAGCAAATTGCAATGATCCTCTTTTGCTTTATAAGATATGGGTTAGCCTTCTTGATATTTTTAACGGCGAAATCTATTACTTCTTGAATATGATCCAACATATAGACTTTGCAGTCCTTTCCCATAGCCTCAGCAAAGCAAGCAGCCACATAACCTGATCCAGTACCGATGTCCAAGGCTTTTCCACCCTGAAGGAAGTGTCGATGAAGTTTTTGCAAAGTCATAGCATGCATATGGGGTGCTGAGATTGTTGTTCCCCAACCTATTGACCTAGGAATATCCTAATAGGCCAGATGAGTATTCTCTTCCTTGACAAAGTTTTTCCTGTCAATTTTAATCATCAACTCAAAAATTTCCTGGTTTATGATTTCTCTAGACTTGAAAGTCATTAGCAACTATTTGAGTTAAGGATCTGGATTGTTTCTAGAATCCAAAAAGATATGCTTTGACAACTGCTTGTCTAAATAGATGCAGTCATCAATTTCCATTTCATCAGATTTTAAGGTAACTTAATAGTTTATGACATCATTGATTATTTAGTTTGCATCTTCAATGAAATTCCCAGAATTCTCCTCACAGTCATCTATCTTGACCTTGATTTAAGATACTTGTTCCTTGTATTTAGCTAGCATACTCAACTCATTCAAAACTTTTTCCTTTACATCAACAACTGCTTGGTCATAATTCTTCTAGCACTACTCAAGTTGAATTTCTATTTCACAAATGAGAGCTCTAATACAATTATCCATGTTTTCCTTTTGTTCCTGTATTGATTAAAGCAGATAGCCTTAGACCTAATCAATGAGTTACGACTACTGTTCAAGTTTTTCCTGGCATTGATCTATATCTTTCTTTAATACCTCTTTTCTAAGGATTTTTTCGGCAGAAATAATCTCATGTCCTTGCCCTAGATGCTCATTTAGTAGGCATTCCTAGCATATTACAGCATCATGCGTCACGCAATAAAATTTCAATGCCTCTCTCTAATGTTTGTCACATTTTTTCTCATTCCTAATAAAAGAGTTTAACTGTGAATTCTGCTGAGTTGAGTGGATGGCATTCAGAACAGAAAAGTTCGTGGGAATCTTATCAAATGATTCAAATCGATGCACAGTCTTGTCTAAGGGACAGGATATTAAAGGCTTTTTGTAGACAAATCTCAGGCATTTCTGGCAGAATGTATGACCACATAGTAGAAATAGAGGCTTTCTTTCCTGATCATTAATCCTCTCCATACAGATTTTACAAGTTAATATCTCCTCAAGGCTTTCCATGACAATTTAATATTATAATCAATTAATGATTCTTAATCTAAATATATTAAAATCAAGAGTGTCAATTTAAAATTAAAGTTTTTATCAATCACAAATATAAAAGTCTTCACATATCACTATATATATCCAATTTAATATAGAGTTAATATATTAAACCTACCTATTTAAATCCCAAGTCCCGCAACTTTAAGTGTGTTAAACGCCAATTCATTTAATTAAAATCTTTCACTTTGAACCCAATCTACACTTCCTTTTCGCTTTCTAGCAATTATAAATTACAAATGTTTGGTGATACACAAAGAATTACTGACTATCAATAAGAAAGCCATCCGATCATGCTACAATACTAAAAAGCAATTGAATTATTGGAAGAGGTAAATAAAAAGTTAATTAAAGAGAAGAGAAAAAGGCGGTTTTGGCAAGAAAAAGTTAAAGCAATAATGAGATGCTAACTATTTCGAAAGTATCAAGAAGAGTAGCTTCAGCTGCACATAATAAAAGATACTTATGACATGCTTAAATGTGATGTTGACTAAGGTCTTTTAAATATGAAGCTAAAAGGTCTACCACCAGGTGTAGAGATTCATAGCAACGAATAACAAAGTAGTAAATCTGGTAATAAAGAAAATTATAAAAATACTCCTCTTAAGATAAAGATCAGTGAAAACAGTAAAAAAATCAAAAAGGCTGATACAACTAATTAATCTAAAAATAATAAAGAAGATATTCTTGTATTTCCTTCTAGCAGCAAGCTTTAATAGAGTTAGCTTAAACAATAAAATGAAAATAATCACAAGACAAAGCCAGAAAAGTAATAAAGCTAAAATACAACGGCAAGTTCTGGTAAAAAATAAAAATCTAAGAGCAAATCATCAACTGCTAATCAATAATCATCAAGCGGGAGTAAAAAATCCAGGACAATGGCGATAGATTAGTTTATATAAGAATCAATTCGATAAGCCAAAGAGAGTATTAAAAATAGTGGTATACTGCAGAGTACAGAGCCTGTGGAATAAGATTAGAAAAGTAAACATTTAATTGAGATATGTGATGAAAATAGTAACTAATCAGTCATCATTTAAGGTGCTTAAAAATTATCAAGTTGTGTACAGTTCTAATAAAACATATTGCCCTAAGGATTTTTAAACCAACTTTAGTAATGAAGAAATTTCATTAATCTAAGGGCAAATCTAAATAATTTTTAACTGTTATTTAAACATTAAACTACTCTTTTAATTAAAACTATACTATAAGCAGAACTTTAAAACGTTTGCTTCATCATACATTAAAGCTTCACTCTTTTTTCTTTTTCTATAAAATTGCAAATAAGTTTTTATAATATAACTTTACTTCATCAACTTTCATTCCAATATCTTTTTTGATTGTTGAAATTATATATGTGCCCGTCATTATGAATACGACTCCAATCATTTTTTGTATTGTAATTGCTTCTCCAAAGAAAATAGCAGCAAACACTACCTAAATAAAAAAATGTAATTAATTTCTGATTAATCATTAATGAACGGTAGAAATGATTCTTTTTAGGCAATGTAGACTTACTGTAAGTGAGAAATTTATACAGAAATTTATAACAGTTGCTTGAGAGGCCCCTCTTTTGTTCATAGATTTAACATTATTCCTAAGCAAAAACATTGTGAATAAAATCTGCAGCACAATGAAAATTGCATGCAATAGAATTCTAATGAATGCGAAATATTCATTTGGGATATTCGGAAAATAGGCTTTGAGTACTGGGATATAATTACCACTAATGGTTCCCTTCTCTCCAAAATTGAATCCCACTTTAACTGAAATGAGTATGAATTTCAAAAAGTAGAATACTGATGACTCCACAAGTGGAAGCAAAAAAACCTGTGTATAGATTGTACTTGTACTCTTCGATAAAATTCATTTTTAGTTTAGTTATTTCAATTTTAAATGCTTAATTTATATATTGATTGTTGGGGTTTTGGGGTTTTGGGG